GATATAAGATTAACTCAAAAAAATCAGTAGCCCTCCTACATATAAATAATAAATGGGCCGAGGAAGAAATCAGAGAAACATCACGCTTTATAATAGCCACAAACAATATAAAATACCTTGGGGTAACTCTAACCAAACAAGTGAAAGACCTGTATGACAAGAACTTTAAGTCTTTGAAGAAAGAAATTAAAGAAGATATCAGAAAACGGAAAGCTCTCCCATGCTCATGGATAGGTAGGATCAACATAATAAAAATTGCAATCTTACTAAAAGCAATCTACAGATTCACTGCAATCCCTATCGAAATTCCAACACAATTTTTCACTAGACCTTGAAAGAACAATACTCAGCTTCATATGGAAAAACAAAAAGCAGCTTGGTATTAGCATAAAAACAGACATATGGACCAATGGAATCGAACTGAAGACCCTGACATTAACCCACACACCTATGAACACCTGATTTTTGACAAAGAAGCCAAAACTGTACAATGCAAAAAAGAAAGCATCTTCAATAAATGGAGCTGGCATAACTGGACGTCAACATGTAGAAGATTGCAAATAGAGCCATAACTATCGCCATGCACAAAACTAAAGTCCAAGTGGATCAAAAACCTCAACATAAATCCAGTTACACTGGGCCGTTCAGCTTTTTATTACACCAATCACAGCACTACTCCTTCACACAGTGTATAAATATCCCACAAGTTTCCAAATGGTGGATTTGGCAGCAAAGTAAGTGGGGTTCCAGGAGCAGGACATAAGCATACACTTGAGTCCTAACGGCCTCCTGAAACAAAGACATGGTTGCAAGGTGGGCCTAACAGGTTGTCATTGTAATGATTTAACAGCGGAAGGTGCCTTGGGAGATTGGAGCCAACAGGTGCCCAAAAGTCACTCCAGTCACACCATGCAAAGGCACTCACATTTGGGAAGGGGGAGGGGCTCAGAGACAGCCTCTGAGCTAGTAGAAGGAAGGGAGAGTGAGAGAGGGTGAGGAGAGAAAGTGCTTGCTTTTTGTAAGGGGATATAGCACGTGTGCACAGGATGAGTTCATGACTAGTGGTGGCAGTAACCACAGTGTCGCATCTTAGCTGCTACTGCTGACTTGTCCTGCTGTCGCTTGGGCAGGCTAGTGTAAAACAGTCCTAACCACAGGTAGTCATGACAAGGCAGTCATAGGTGGTCATATAACCTTCTGAAGCAAAAGTAAGTTCGCACGTGGCTATAAACAACTTCTTGAAACCAAGACATGATTGCCATTTCTGGAATAGGCAGTTGTTGGGGAATATTATTTTAAGGTGTGTTACTTTTGTTTAACTCTGTGAAGCTGTGTTTCTGTGCCTGTCTAGAGCACCTGATGGTCTGATAAAGCCCATCAGCCAATAGCAAGGCAGGAGAAAGGATGGGGACAGGGGCTGGCAGGCAGAGAGAATATATAGAAGGAGAAATCTGGGAGGAGAGGAAAGAAGGAAGAAACAGAAAAGGAAGAGGACTCCAGGGTCAGCCACCCAGTTACACAGCAAGCCACAGAATAAGAATAAGATTTACAGAAGTTAGAGAAAGGGAAAAGCCCAGAGGTAAAAGGTAGACGGGGTAATTTAAGTTAAGAAAAGCTGGCTAGAAACTGTCAAGCTAAGGCCAGGTATTCGTAATTAAGAATAAGCCTCCATGTGTAACTTATTTAGGAGCTGGGTGGCGGGCCCCCCAAAATAGCAAAAACAGCAGCAAGCAGTAGAGAACTATTTGCAGTTAAGGTTACAGGTGGGAAATAGCCCAATCCTTGAGAAACAGAGACAAAAAGAGTGCTTGGAACTAAGAAGTTAAAATTCAGCAAAAATGGAGAAGAGGCACCAGAAGAGACAAAAGCGAAAAGGAGCAAGCAAGGGAAAGCAGAAGGTATAGAAGCTGAGGTGCCGACCCCCAGGATGCATTCCTCAGGATGCCCAAAAGAATGGGAACAAAGCAGATGAAAGCAATGTGCACAAAAACTAGCAGCAAAAACTTGGCAGAGTTTAAGGCATTCATAATTCCATACATTTAACAGGACACACAAGCGAAAGGCATAGCTAGAAAGAAATGTACGTGTGGAGGAGGTGGTAACCTCACACAAAGGGAGCCATTCTCAAAGCCACACGGAGGAAGACAGAATTCCTGTTAACAAGCGCTCATTAGACAAACAACAGACTTCATATCTGCCCCAGATGCCAGAGCACAGCCAAGTCCTCCCTTCAAGTGCTGACAGAAAGTCACTGCAAGGCCTGAGCTCTGGACCCAGATAACGATAATGCAGACATGAAGACTATAGGAAGATCCTTCAAAGGGACATCAGCAAAAATCACCACTTTAACAAAAGAACCTTTAACAGATAACCAAGGATTGGGAAGCAAAACAACAAAAACAAGAGACTAGTGGTCTCCAAATGCTGTTATGTTTAATTCATGTTTAATTTACCATTGACACATTCCCTGCCCCTTCTGCTTATACACAATAAAAATTCTAGCTGAGCATGTCAGAGAAGGTGGAGTGCTGTGGGGTCTGTTCATTGGCTAGGAAAAAGGGCTTTGATAAGGTAGGTAGACATTGAGTAATTCTACAGGAATGCTGCTCAAACTCTGGCATACTTCTGAGTCACTGAGAACATATGAGTATGGATTCACCCTGAGAGCATTTGAATCCTTAGGTTTGGCAAAACTTTGAAGAATCCAATTTTAATGGTTCCCAAGGAGGGCACTACTACTCTGGAGTCTAAATCCAGAGGTCCAACCTGCCCCCGTTAGAAAAACAATGCGACTAAGCATCAGACCAGAGACCTAAGAGTGAACAAAAACAAACAAAACTCCAGAGGATGGAGACTTGGTTCAGCAGTTAAGAGCACTGCTTGTTTCTCTACTGGATCTGGGTTCAATTTCCAGCACCCGTGTACATGATGGCTTATAATTGATTGTAACTTCAGCTTCAGGGGATCTGATACCCTCTTCTGGTGTCTGCAGGCACCGGACACACATTTGGTGTATGTACGTACATTCAGACAAACACATACACATAAAGGTAAATATTTTTATAAAAATGTACAAAGGCTGCGTATATCTTCCAAGTCAAAGAGGAAAAGAATCTGTGTATGTAAATTATATCGGAGGCAAGAGAAAACGTGTGTGAATGGGGATCTGAAGAGATGAGACAGGCCATCTCACAGAGAAGCACTAAAAAATAGGCTCTTGGCACTCCTGTAGGGAATATCCAACAATCTCTAGTAAAGATGGGGGCGGCGGCAGGGTGGGGGTTGTATCATGTCGAAGTAAAGACACCTGTTTACTTTACCCAGAATCCCAAAACCACTTATGAGGAAGTTATAGAAACTTGTACACTCTAGTGTGTCTGTAAATGTTTACAGCACTGCTTATGATTAGGAAAAACTACAATGAGCTGACGCTACAATCAAGCAGTAGGTTCAATCCAGAACTTTCACTCAAAATATCATAAATCAAAATGAAAAGTGCTATGTGACTAGAGAGTCCATGTATAGATTCCTTAATGTTCTGTATCATATTAAATTGTTCACTCCATGTACTATATTTTGTAAAATTAAAAAATTATATTTATTTAGGGTATGTGTGTGTGTGTGCGTGTTTGAGTGTTTGAAGGAGTCCCTTTCTTCTTCCACCATGTGAATCCCTGGCATAGAATTTAAGGGAGTCAGGCTTGGGATTGTTTGCCTTCACTTAACTGAACAATTTTATAGACCTGACTCTAAATACATCAAATCAGCTTTAGTTAGAACTATAATTGAAACTATAAATCACCTGTCTTAAGATACTTAACATGATTTGTTTACTTGAGATGATACTTAATAAGAAACTGTAATGACATCTTGCCATAAATGACTTTGAGAATCCAAGCATGGGTTAGATTCGAATTATTGTTTAACTTAGAAAAATATGCAAGAGGTTAGAGGATATTTACATTCCTGTTATCATGACTTTAAAATTAATTCATGCTTCCTTTGTGTTATGCTTCTATGTGTCACAGAATTATCTCCACAAGCCTGTTTGCTTAAAATATAAAGATATTTCTTACCACTGGAAGGCATTTTATAGTAGTTATTTTCTCAAGGCTTTGACTTGTGAAGCTTGCGACATTGTGTTTGTTTTAGGAAACACTCCTTAAATTACTTATAATAATTGTGTGTGTGTGTGTGTGTGTGTGTGTGTGTGTGTGTGTGTGTGTGTGTGAGAGAGAGAGAAAGAGAGAGAGAGAGAGATTTTGATGTGGAGTAATCAACAGTGGTAGCTGTTGTAGAATATTATTTTAAGATGTGTTGCATTTGTTTATGCTGTGGAACATTTTTTTAATGATGCAAAGATGTGTTGCATTCTTTTATGTTGCTTTTGCTTAACTCTGTGAAGCTATGTTACTGTGCCTGTCTAAAACACCTGATTGGTCTAATGAAGAGCTGAATGACCAATAGCAAGGCAGGAGAAAGGATAGGTGGGGCTGGCAGGCAGAGAGAAGAAATAGGAGAAAAAGAGAGAAAAAAGATCAAAGAGTTAGAAAAGAGGGGGCCAACCACCCAGTCACACAACCAGACATGGAATAAGAAGGAAAGAAAAGATATACAGAAATAGAGAAAGGTAAAAGCCCAGAGGCAAAAGGTAGATGGGATAATTTAAGAAAAGCTGAATAGCAACAAGCCAAGCTAATAATAATAATCTTATTATTCATAAGAAATAATAAAATTCCATGTGATTTATCTGCCGAAAAATAAAAACAATAGGTAGCCATTCTGTTCTTGTTTCAACAGAAGATAAAAACTGTTCATTGAAATTAGGAATGTATAACTGTAGAAAATCAGGGATTCTATTATTGAAATTAGGAGTGATTCTATTATTGATTCTATTATTAACCTAAAAACTATAATGAAATACTAATTTTCTAGGTATATGTGGTAGCATATTAAAATAGCCAAAATTAGAATATAAAATACAAATTATAGACTATGTGCAATAAGATGATATTTATTTAAACAATGAAACCAATGAAGACCATCCTAAAGATATTCCATATGTCACTCTTTTACCAGAAACTGAATTGTCAGGGGAATATAAATGTCTATTAGGCATAATAGATCTTGGTGATAGATTATGAAGTACAAATGACAACGATGCTGATGCTGATAGAAAGGAAGAGGCTTTGATGGTATCTGACACACTTCTGAAAACACACGATCTGATAGAGAAAGGATGCGAATGGCATTTGTTGAATATAGTGTGGGTACTTAGATGTATGGGTGCTTAGATTTTCAAAAGGTCATTTGTAGGGATAACGCCCGCGCTATCACCACCCGTTCACCATGTCCGAGCGAGGGGCTGTGGATTAAAAAATAGAGACAAGAGACAGCGAGTCATTCGCCATGGCTGAATGCCGAGTGCCAGCCGAATGCCGTTTATTGAAAGAGGGAGGAAACCTTAAATACAGGCTTACAGCACAATGGCGGATCCCGGAGGGCAGAAGTTCGCTATATTTTTGCATCTAAGCTGTTTACACCAAATGCAGGATACAGGAACAAAGAACCTCCGGTAGAACGTTAGGTGAGAAGGAAACCGGCAGGGAATCTGAATAGGGAGGACATCTGGTCAAGGTCGGCAAGCAAGGCGGCAGCCACTCACAGTGGGGGGGCCAGGGCCCACAGGTCCCCCCTTTTTACTAAAAAAATGAGCTTCTGACTTAGGTTGCGTGGGACGTCAGCAGGTCACCTTACCCGTCATAGAGACACCTGCCCAGGCCACACAAGTGCTCTGTCTTAGGTTGATGACCGCCCCCCAAGCATTACCCATCTCTGAATACTCATTATCATACAGACTCAACCACTGTGAGCTGTAGAGTGACTGCTGCCAAAGATCTCAAAGTGGCACTGGGCTTGCAATCTGTGCGACACAGAAAAGACCAACAGAAGTCCTAACCCACCCATAGCCAGGAGGCTAAAGGCAACTGAGCCATTCCCTTCCTAAACAAGCCTTACTGCAAATTGGAGTCCTTGTAAGGTGGTATCCCATAAGCAAATAGAACTTGAGTTTTAATAATTTTTACAACTTTCAAAGCCAATGTAGAATTAAATTTATCATGCCCAATACAATAAAAGATTAACTAACTGTGGTAGCTACTTTTGCTGCCAGGGTCTCCATTGTGCTAGCTGTAGAACCCAATTATGAAGTAGCCATCCCACAAGCAATAGCAGCAGTGGCCACCACTGCTATAACAGCAACAATGGCAACAGCGATGTCAGTCTCTTCTGGAGCGTGTGAGCATCATCTGTGTCTAACTGCCATGGTCCACTGGCATGGACGCAGCTCCAGGAACACGAACCACCAAGGCCCATTTTTCTTGATCCCAGCACTACTTAGGCTGGCAGATCTGCAAAAGAACAACTAAGAACCATAGAGAAAACAAAAACAAAAACAGCAAACAAGGAGCAGAACTAATGGTCTCATTAATGGCTACATTCAGGCTCAGAAATTTAAGGTATCTTCAAAAAGGCTAGATGAATTTCAGGAGGCCAATAAATGTTGCACAGAGCCATTCCTGAAAAGTAGGTACTACACCAGCTTGAAGAGGGTTGCAAAATGTGAAAAGGCTTAGCTGGCATGCTACTGTTAACAAATAGAGGTCAGTGACCTTCAGAGTTATCCTTAATCTCCAAGGTGTGACACATTCTCAACATTTTTGAAAAAAGTTACCATACATTACCTTCTGAAGAATCCAACCACATGGCTACAGTTCTTAGGATTACGTTAATGCTTGCCAAGGCTGGCTGTATTGGGCTCTCAATCCCCATTGGCATCAGAAGGGAAGAGTTTTTTACAAAGGCCCAATAGGTCTCTGCCATGTCGGGATTCAGCAGCAGCCACAGGGCGCACACAGCGCTCAGGAACCCAAAGAGGAACTTCATTGTCCTGTGGAAAGACACAAACAGATCTCCGGGCCCACACCAACACTGGATCGGGTCCCCTCCAAGTGCCAGTAGAAAGATCCTTCCATCACACCAGAGGATGATTGGCAACAGGAGCCCTCCAGTGCTTATCTGCAGCGGATACTCCAGCAGAATCCACCGATAAAAAATTTAAAATATATAAAACAAGGGAAAGAATAGAATGTGGAGAGGAGAGATGAGCCCCTAGCTCCCCCCTTTTACTTTAGAAATATATGTTTTGAAGGTACGATGGCAGCATTCTACTATAGCCTGTCCTTGAGGGTTATAAGGAATACCAGTCTTATTAACAAAAGTCTTGGCAGAATTTTGAAAATCCCGTACTGCTGTAGGCGGGACCATTTTCAGTCTTTATGCATTTTGGTACTCCCATGTAAGCAAAAGCATGAAGACAATGATTCTTTACATCCTTAACCTTTTCCCCTGAATGGGCAGAAGCAAAAATTAGAGAAGAATATGTATCAATATGGACATATTGTAATTTTCCAAAGGAAGGCACATGTGTGACGTCCATTTGCCACACATGATTAGGTAAAAGCCCTCGGGGATTAACTCCCAAATGAGGAACAGGTAAAAATTCAACACAAATAGGACATGATTTAACTATCTGGATGGCTTGTTCCCGGGTTATGCCTGTATGATGACGAAGAGATCCAGCATTAAGATGATAACGTTGATGCAACTGAGTAGCCTTATCAAAGGCAGAACAAACTAATATGACAGCCATATGAGTAATGGCATCAGCCCTCTGATTACCTTCACTTAGAGGTCCAGGCAATTGAGTGTGAGCTCTAATATGGTCCACATAAAGGTTATGTGAGCGGGACCGTATAAGTCCTTGCACTTGCAATAAATATTCATGAATGGGAGAAATGGATGGTATGTAGGCTGTTGTCTCCAAAGGCACAATGGCATGTGCCACATATTGACTATCAGTATAAATATTTACACTCTCATCAGAAAACATCTGTAAAGCAAGCAACAGCGCCTGTACCTCTACCATCTGGGCAGAAGTGCCCTGGACTTTCATTCTCTTTACTATGTTACCAGAAACCACCAAAGCAAAATCATGTGAAGTGCCATGAGTAAATACTACACGGGCCTGAGGAATAGGAGTCATCTGTACTATCTTGGGAAATATAACAGGATGCAACTTAAAAAATTTACACACATCATTGGAGGGGTAGTGAGTATCAAACCGACCCTGCATGGAGCATGTCAATATGGTCCAATCATTATCATTAGCTTGCAACCATGCTATTTGAGACTGGGTGTATGGGGTCACCACAATATCTGGCTCCTTACAAAAAGTTTGAACACTGATCTTGATTCCCTTAAATATAATCTGAGCAATAGCCTGAGGATAAGGAGTGATGGTTTTTGTTGGAGAAGCTGGGGAATGGACCCATAGAATAGAACCTGTTTGCCAAAACACTCCAGTAGGTGAATGAGAAAAACTAAAATATTCATGACCTAAATAATGATAGGGAAAAGATACCTGTACCTTTTCTGGGGCAATCTGTAAATTAGCCAGGCTAAGAACCTCTTGTAAATTAGAAAAGGCATCAAACAAGTTTTTTATCTTTAGCAGCCATTAATATCATCCATAAGTCAACCACAATTAAATGCCAATGTTTAGGAATTGCCACAGGGGCAGGCAAGCCAGGTTGTGTTGCTCCCATGAAAAGCATGGTTTTATTTACAGCTCTAAGATCCTATAATAGCCTCCATTTTCCTAACTTCTTTTTAATAACAAATATAGGTGAGTTCCAAGCTGAAGTGGAAGGAATGACATGACTAGCATCTAACTGTTCCTTAACTAATGTGTTCGCAGCCTCCAATTTTTCTTTAAAAGGCCACTGTTCCACCCATACAGGGTCATCACTTTTCCAAGTGATTTATATCAGTTGTATAATCGAAGGCTGCTGTGCAGTGACCCCTATGGAAAAGACCCTAACCCTCTAGTATCCCCAGGACCTCTAGTGACACAGTTTTTGTCTGCCACAGGGAGTGGGTCTCCTTGCAACATTTTCCCTAAGCCTCTGCCCGGGCAGTAGCCCTGACTCTTCAGTATCTGTTGTACAGGCTGTGTAGTAAGCACTGCTCCCATACCATCTAGCACATCTCGTCCCCACAAGTTCACTGGAATGTCAGGTAGCACAAAGGGTTGAAAAGTTCCTGCATGACCTTCCTCATCCTTCCAATTTAAAAGTAGCCTGCTCTGCAATGGTGTCTGAGCTGTACCGATACCTTGTAGGTTAGAGATGGAATTCTTTTTTTTTTTTTTTTTTTTTTTTGGTTTTTCGAGACAAGGTTTCTCTGTGTAGCTTTGCGCCTTTCCTGGATCTCGCTCTGTAGACCAGGCTGGCCTCGAACTCACAAAGATCCGCCTGCCTCTGCCTCCCAAGTGCTGGGATTAAAGGTGTGCGCCACCACCGCCCGGCGAGATGGAATTCTTAAGGGGCCAATTGGGATCTCAGGATTCTTGTGAAATTATAGATATATCCAGCACCAGAATCCAATTATCTTTCAATCTCAATCCCATATAATTTTGTTTTTAATTTTAGGCTGCTTATCATTGATAACTGTTTGTCAAAACACCTTTTTTTCCCTGTACTTTCAAAACCTCCAGTTCTACATATAGGCGCCATTTTGCCTTTAAAATATGAAAGCAATAATAATTGAGCAATTCTATCACCAGCTTCTATTTCTATGGTCCTTTTTACATATGCCAATTATAAAAGCATTAAATACAATCTCTATAGGATTTGAAGAGGTAACTTTAGGTAATACTCTGGAGTATTTTTATAAAATCTTAAAAAGAGGATTTTTTTTTTAAAAATATAGATTTCAAATAACACATTAACACAAATAGCCAATTATTAACAATGTGGACCAAACAATTTACCTGTATTTTATTTACTAGAAAAATAATTTTGTGACCTCTTTATCAGTAAGAGATTATTTTTTATGGGTTTATCTTAGCAACAACATTATTTAATAAGCTAACAACCCAATCCATTTCAGGTGTTATATTTCTATAAAATTAAACCAAGAATTTCTAGAAAGCAACTTAAATTGCAGAACCAAATTTTCAGTAATGATCAACAGACAAGAGCACACCTAATATACAGTTCAAAATTATGAATTCTGTTCCTTTAGTTTATCTACCATGAGAATCAAACATTCATCCAAACATTTATTAAGACAATCAAAAGAACAGAACATCCTTTATTCACACAGCATTGACTTAGCATTCCATGTCCTGACCGAAACCATTTTTCATCAGAAGTTAGGCCCGTTTAAACTTTTAGTGCTAGTCCCTCTCCTGGCCTCTGCTCGCTTGCCTGCCCACAAGTCTGTTCCCCTCATCAGCCTCGTGGCTATGCCTCCCGCCTGCGTGTACCTGCCCACCTGCTGCTCTGGGCTATCTCACACACGCCTTTGCCGCCATGCTGGACACGTGCACTCCCTTTTAAACTTTCTTTTACTTCTCATGAAAGGACTACCTAATAATGAGTTATTCCCATAAGGGAAAAAACAAAAACATTTCCCACGAAGGGATCCTAAATATTGAATTATTCCCATTCTGAGGGAAAATTAAAAAACATTTGAACCAAAATAAGCAAACAGACAGCCAAACTTCTAACCTCTGGGCTCGCTTGCTGTTCAGCCAGCAGCAATGAGGCCTACCTGCCGATTCTTTGTAACTCAGATGCTGCACTGCAGAAAGAGCTCAGAGTTTCAGCTATCCTGAAAATTCTACAATTGGAAAGAGACTTTTCTTCCTCCATTACCACTGGGAAGAGGCTTTTCTCTTTCCTTCATCCTTCCTCTACAGGGCCCTAATCTTTAGGCCTAGTTTCAAAAATTTTTCCCCTTTTTACCGGGAAAATCCTTTTTTCTTGATTAAAATTTTTTCTCCCTTTTCTAATGGGAAATTTCCTTTTCTTCCCTCTTCTCTATTGAGAAGATTTCCTTTTTTATTTAAAATCTTCAGCTGTCTTGCCCTTTCTTAACTTCGGTGCCTTCCTGCTTCAGCAGTTCAATTAACTGACTGTGAACTACCTGCACCCATTTCAATTCACCCTTATCTTTTCTTTTTTCTTTAAATTGCTGGCCAGCCTTACCTTTCGGGTGTCCATCAGCTTGTCCCTTCTTTCTCGGATCTCGGTAGGAACCTCCATTTGTAGGGATAACGCCCGCGCTATCACCACCCGTTCACCATGTCTGAGCGAGGGGCTGTGGATTAAAAAATAAGGGACAAGAGACAGCGAGTCATTCGCCACGGCTGAATGCCGAGTGCCAGCCGAATGCCGTTTATTGAAAGAGGGAGGAAACCTTAAATACAGGCTTACAGCACAATGGCGGATCCCGGAGGGCAGAAGTTCGCTACATTTTTGCATCTAAGCTGTTTACACCAAATGCAGGATACAGGAACAAAGAACCTCCGGTAGAACGTTAGGTGAGAAGGAAACCGGCAGGGAATCTGAATAGGGAGGACATCTGGTCAAGGTCGGCAAGCAAGGCGGCAGCCACTCACAGTGGGGGGCCAGAGCCCACAGTCATTATAGCCTTACTGGGTTATAGAAGATGCATAAATAAATATGCAAAACTATATTCTCATATATATATATATATGAGTAATTATATGTACGAGAAATTATATGTATGTATATATGTATTTGACCAATTTTTTACAGCGGATGCCTCCTTATTTTCCACCCCAAATAAGCCTATGTCTTCATTCAAATGCTGTGCTACCATATGAAAACCATAGGGATGTCACAGTGTTCTTCTGTGATAGCAGTGAGCCACTGGCATATTTCTACTGCTCCAGAAATGTCTGAACATTTCTAGGGACTTCTTGATTGTCTTTGATGATCTCACAAGCTATGATCAATCTTCTGATGCTTCCTCAGCAGCACCCAAAACTATCAGTTGATGCTATTCAGAGTGTCATAAAGAGCTGTTCCTTTTTAAACCTAATGCAACTGCTCCAGAGAAACAGAAACAACTCTCTGTCTGTCTGTCTGTCTCTCTGTTTTAGTGTTAGACTTTTGTAGGACAAGCTGGCAGTGTGCACATTCCTATGGGAATGTGTGTTGTAATGCCTAAAGGTGTGGAGGGAGATGATTCCATCTTTGGAGACCTTAGTCTGAAAGACTTAACCCAGTTGAAGGAAACCTACCAATAAAAAAATGGTCATGTGCCTTTTTCACAGTTGACTTATCATTGAGACTGGTGTTTGGCAAATAATTGAATAATAGCCAAATTAATCTGTAGATTTAGAACTTGCTGGACCTTCTTCTTGTTAACTCATTTACTGGAATTTGCTGGGTTCTCACCATTGTCTTCAGTTTCTAGAGAATAATGGCTGTCACACTAGTGGAAGCCATGAACTGTGGACTGGTGGCTGTGGAACCCCCATGGGACTGGACTAGGCCCTCCGGATACGGAAGACAGTTGTTTGGCTCAAATTGTTTGGGGGCACCCAGGCAGGGGGATCGGGATCTGTCCCTGGTGCATGGGCAGGCTTCTGGAACCCGGTGCCTGTGGTGTGACACCTTGCACAGCCTTGGTGCAGTGGGGAGGGGCTTGGACCTGCCTAGGCTCAGTGAGCTGGGCTCTGCTGACTCCCCATGGGAGACCTTGATTTGGGGGATGTGGGGTGGCTTGGGAGGGAGGGCTGGGGGGTGGGAGGAGGGAGGAGGGGGGATCTGTGGGTGGAATGTAGAGTGAGTAGAAAATTTCTTAATAAAGAAAAATGAAAAGAAAAAAAAAAGAAAGAAAACAATGGCCATCAATCAGCTTAATCCGGCAATCTGTGTTTCTAATTCTCCGTTTTTACACTTTCTCAGAGAATTCTTGTCAGGGATGCCCTTTGACTTCTGAGTCTTCATTTTCTTTAAAATCTTCGTTGGTATATACTTACATGAAATAATCTTCCATCTTAAAGGAAGCCACATTTTATGCTCCACCATTCTCCAATTTTTACTGTATCTGCCCCACTTATAATAGCTTCCATTCAATTATGTTGCTAAGAGAAGGGTCTTTTAAATAAAGGAAATATTTCCATGTTAATGGAAAAATTGTGAATTCTTTTGGAACCCATGACATAAGTAGTAAATACACATTGAATGACACAAATATATATGGCTTTAGGTTTTGTAATGCTGGGGGTTAAACCCAAGCCTAATGCACGCAAGGCAAATACTCTACTGCTGATTTTCATTCGCCAGCCCTCAGACCAAGGATTTCCAAGCAATGCATAATGTTTTGAAAGTCACTAAGTTGTGCTTTACATAGGAAATAATGGATGCTTGTTAAGTCCAACATTTGCCTTTGTGCGATTTTCCTCTCCTGTTTTCAACCTGCTATAGATGTGTGGTAACTTCAAGGAAGTGCAACTGAGGTAAAGGCCCAGTACAAGAACACAGTTAGCAGAAAATAAAGTGAAGCTTAGTAAAATAAAGAGAATGCTTAGTAATGCAGAGATGGCGCAGAAGACCCAAGAGTCTGAAAAAGCTCCATCTCGTCAGGCTCTTCCCTGGCGTATGCAAGGCAAGTTACTTGGATTTAAGTAAACATGCATGCAACTCCAGCTTCTATGATTCACTCTCCGAAGAAGCTATTAGGTCAAGTAAATTGGTCAGAATGATTTCTCAGGGAATTATAATATCAAAATATCAGTCTTCATAGAGTATTTACTGTTTTAGGTGAAAAACCAGTCTACCCCTCTTCTCCCCTCACCTTCCCTTCTTTCTTATCTTCATATGTCTGTGGTGTTGATTGCCCCTGTGCCCTGCTCAGTTGAATATGGGACTCCTAGCTGGGTTTAGTGCACCACCCTTGAACACTTGTGTCTAGACATTCCAAAAGCAATTTGACTTGAGACATCTAAAATGGATAAACATCTGTATTAGTTACTTTTTCTGTTGCTGTGATAAAACACTATGATCAAGGCAACTTAGATAAGAAAGGGTTTATGTTGGTTATAGTTCCAGAGGGATAAGAGTCCATCATGGCTGGGAGGAAGCTGAGAGAGCACCTTCTTCCCAGTTTCCATCAAATGAAACCTAAACCGCACACAATTCTCAAGTAGATACATCAGTTGTCAGTAGTGCCCGAGGTCCCTTAGCCAGGGACTACACTTTTGTTTTCAGCTCCCGAAGTAAGGCTTGTTGCCAGGCATAGAGCGTGTACTTAGTGCACACACGTGAGTGAATGAATGCATCTAGACTTCCCTAAGAACTGTGCTGATAGCTGCAATCCAGACTCTTTCCTTTTCAGCCTGTGTAGTAAAAATGAAGAGAAGGGAAGTAGGAGAAAGAAGATGGATTTCTCAACAAATACTCAATGCCTGCTGAACAAGTGAATCTTCTGTAAAGACTTTCTGTAAAGGTCTAATTTGACAGCGAAAGTAAAAGGATGGAGAAAGAAAAAAAAGAACGTTCCTATCAAGCATGGTGACATAAAGGATTACAAAAGTGCTTTTGGATAAATAAATAATAGCTCAACACTAAGCTTGAGACTTCCTGAAGGAAACGTGTTTCAAGGAAGTCAAACCAAAGGTCAAGATTCTCAAAATTGGGAACGAAACCCTTAGGCAGGTATACTTGATAGTGAATAGCCTAGCTAATGTTTTTTGAGATATCCTGAGTATTTCATAAGCATTAGCTCAGTCTTTATATGGCATGGTGGAGAATGCAGACTGAGTACATCTGGCTGCTTCTGAGGAAGCTGATGCTTTTCTATCCTGTGTAGAAGCGGAGTGCTCTCTCCATCAATGAAGAAGCTTCTCTCAGGATGCTGAGCTTGGTTTTGCTGACCATGCATAGGCAGGGTGTGAACTCCACAGTACTGCACCAGCTCGTCCACAGATGGAGTCATGGCCAAGGCGCATTTCCATCCTGGCTTCTGGTTGCGAGTGTGGGTTTCTCTATCAGGAGCCTCAGAGGAATAGGAATGGCGAGGACAGATGCAATAGTAGACCAGAGGCTAGGGAAGGTCTTTACTTAATTCCATCTCTCTTTTCCTGTGTGGTTTGTGGGTGTGAGTGCTAAGAATGTACTTCCTCTGCATAATGAGGAAGTGGCAGGGCCAGGAGCCAGAATAGCTGATCAGAATACCCCAAGGAAAGGAGCTAAAGCGAGAAATGGAACGCTCTGAATCAGACACTCAAGAGGCTTCACCAGGACATGGCGTGTGTGTGTGTGTGTGTGTGTGTGTGTGTGTGTGTGTGTGTGTGTGAGAAAAAGGGAGAGAGAAAAAGAGAATGTCATCATGATGAAAGTATAGAAATCTGTCTTCATTCTTTTGGAGTGCCTCAAAGTAGATGTTCCTGATGAATTGAGAAGTTTTTTTTTTTTTTTTTAACTAAATTTGTGTTATTAGAGATTATTGATCTGTTTATAAAGATGGAAACTAAGAAGGGCTCGATCACCTAACACGCCTCTGGAAATGAGAAGTGGAGCTTGAGTCCCAGATTTAACAACACTAATGGTCCTGGGTGAAGAGTATGGCCTCTGCTGCCTTTGGCTGGCTCATAAGAAAGAGCCCATTGTGAAATACCCCGGAGTCGGCAGCTGGCTTTTAAATCATTGTAACTTGAAATTGTGCAGTTCCAGTGAGTGGCGGTTTCAATAAGACCCAACTGACTTGCGTCCTACCCACTCAAGGAGAGTTTCTGGTAAGAATTTTCTGCTCAAGCGTATGTGGAAAAGAATCATGGTACTGGATAAACAGACCAAGGAAGGAGAAGGAAAGAAGGGTGGGTATGGAGGGGAGGAAGGAAGCTGGAAAAGAAGGCTGGAAATGGGAGGGAGAGAGAAGGAAGGCCAGAAGAAGGGAGAAGTTGAGGTAAAGTAAGGGGAAAGAGGACACAGTATTAAAGAGAGAGGACAGAGGGAAGAAGGGGGTGGGACAAAGTGGGACGTGGCAGGAGAAGAAGCAACTGGTCTGGTCCTTATTGCCATGGATTCTTGGGCCATGAACGAATTGTGACCAAGAATTCCCGATTTGGAATAATAAATAAAATGTATAAAATAAGAATTCAAAGAGACAAGGCTGAAGACAGAACCTCCCCCCACACAGCAGAACGAAACGCAACAGGAGCTCTCAGAGCAGAGGGAACAACTTAGAACAATGTTGTTATAAAACTTAATTGGAAACATAAATTAGAAAGAACAAAGCAGAGCCTGCACAGCTGAAAGTCCAGTTATTTACATAGAGGGACC